GGTCTCGCTCTTGCTCAGGCTGGTTTCGAACTCCTGACCCCGAGCAATCCGCCTGCTTCGGCCTCCCAGAGTGCTGGGATGACAGGCATGAGCCACCGCGCCTGGCCTTGCATTTAATCTCTTGAACCTTCAGATCAAGAGTCAGCATTTTTAGTTTGTTCTAAGTACTACCAAGTGTATTACAGAGGTTTTAAACACAAGAACATTATTTTATTACATCTACAAATTACGTGATTCATTAAAATGAAAGTCATTAAAATGAATACCTTAATCTGTAAACCAGCAAATACATTTTTATGTGTAAGATTGAAAAATTACTAGATGCCTGTTGTAAAAGTTTCTGGAAAATAAAAAATGAAAGACTACAATTCTCAATACAGTTTTTCTACTGGTTACAATCTGCCCTTAGTATCTCAATTTCTGCCTACAAAATTGGTAAGAATATACATTTTTTTTTGGCCGGGCGCGGTGGCTCACGCCTGACATCTCAGCACTCTGGGAGGCCGAGGCGGGAGACGCGAGGTCAGGAGTTCGAACCAGCCTGCGCAAGAGCGAGACCCCCCGTACTCTACTAAATGTAGAAGAAATAGTTGGCAACTAATTATATAAGAAAAAATCAGCCAAGGGCGTAGGTGGCGCATGCCTGTAGTCCCAGGCTAACTTTCGGGGAGGAGCTTGAGGCAGAGATCGCCTGAGCCCAGGAGTTGAGTTGCTGTTGACGAGGCTGACGCACGCCACGTCACTCTAGCCTGGGCAAGAGCGAGCCTGTCTCAAAAAAAAAAAAAAAAACAACAAAAACCATACATCTGTAACTCACAAGTTTGCTAGGAGAGTGCAATTTGACAATAGACAACACCTTTTGGTAGTAAAGGCGCTCGGCAGTGTTTGGCAATCTTGTTATCATTGACAGTATAGACAGTAGCTCCCCTCGTCTGTGGTTTTGCTTTCTAGGTTTCAGTTACGCAAGGTCAACCTCGCTCTGAGAATATTAAATGGAAAATTCCAGAAACGAATAATTCGCACAATTTTAAACGGCCTGCCGCGCTGAGTGGCTGGCACGGTGAAATCCTTAGCCGTCCAGCCGTCCCGTCCCAGCCAGGACCTCGGTCATCCCCGTGTCCCGCGTCACGTGCGCTGTCTGCACTAACCCGCGGTGAGCGCTTAGTCTCCCGTTATCAGGTCTACTGTCCGGGTACCTCAGGGCTTGGGTGCGGGGAACCCTCGTTTTACCCAGTGATGGCCCCAAAGGCAAGGGCATTCATTGGGATGTGTCAGAGAGAAGCTACAAAGTACTTCCTTTAAGTGAAAAAGGTGAGGGTTCTGCCACATTTTCTCTTTTTCATTTTTTCAGTTAGACAAGCAGAGTCTTGCTTGCGCCCAGGCTAGAGTGCACAGGCTGGCCGGTGGCGCTCAGAACCTCGCTCACGGCAACCTTACAGGGACTCCGTGGGCTCAGGCGATCCTCCTGCTCAGCCTACGCTCCCGAGTAGTGGGATAACAGCGATGGGCGGGCCATTGGCGCGGGCTCTTTTTTCTATGCGTGATATATAGGGTTTCCTTTCTGATGAGTGAGACGGCCGTCGGCTCTCGTGTGCTCGGCTGGTTAGATGGAACTCCTGAGCGCTTCGAGCGATCCATCCGTTCGGGCGGCCGGCTCCAGGAGCTAGGGTTAAGGCATGGAGCCTCCTCGCCCGGCCTCCACGTTTTCTTTGCCTCGGCAATTGTGGTAAAACTCACTTTCGAACTGATCATAGAAGATTTCACTCACTCTTGCGTCGGGATCAGGTGAAGCTGTGTTAGGTCCCGACTTTGTAGACTGACTAGTTTTTTTTTCTTTGGACAGAGTCTCACTCTTGCTGTCCGGGCTAGAGTGCCGTGGCGTCAGCCTCCCTCACAGCAACCTCAGACTCCTGGGCTTAAGCGATCCTCCTGCCTCAGCCTCCTCCCGAGTAGCTAGGACTACAGGCATGCGCCACCACGCCCGGCTGATTTTTTCTATATATATTTTTAGTTGGCCAATTAATTTCTATTTATAGTAGAGACAGGGGTCTCACTCTTGCTCAGGCTGGTATTGAACTCCTGACTTCGAGCGATCCTCCCGCCTTGGCCTCCCACCAGAGTGCTAGGATTATAGGAGTGAGCCACCCTGCCGGGCCTGACCAGTTTTGAATTACACGAAATGACTAAATTTCTATATTCGCCTTGAAAGACACAATCCAAATGTAGGGGCGGGGCGCGGCGGCTCACGCCTGTCATCCCAGCACTCTGGTGGGAGGTCGAGGTGGAAGGATCTCGAGGCAGATCCAGACCAGCCCGAGCAGAGCGAGACCGTCCCTACCTTAAATAGACAAGTAATCGCACTAAAATACCATCATCAGAACAAACTAGCCGCGCATGGCTGGCTCATGCCTGTAGTCCAGTCAGGCGAGGTACAAGGATGCGAGAACCAGAGTCTGAACTTGCTGTGAGAGCGAGGCTGACGCCACGGCAAACTCACTCTAGCTTGCGACAGCCGCCACGACTCTGTCTCAAAAAAAAAAAAAAAAAAAAAACAAACACAAAAACCAAATGTGGGCATGAAACTCTACCGTCGAATCCAAGCAGAAACATGGCCAGCTTATTCTACGTGGAATCCCAACTGGCACCGTCATCTGACGCACAGAACTTCTTCCCACTGGAACGCCTCAAATCGCTGGGCAGTCACCCCTCTGGATTGAGGTTTTAGGTAGCGGTTCTGCAGCAGAAACGCCTGAACCAGGAGCTCCGTTTCGGCGTGGCAGAAACACCTGCAGACAGCGGAGGAGAAGAAAGGAACGAAAAGGTTTCAAGGTCAAAAGCCTTTGAAAGCCGAGCACACTTTCTGACGTTCACACGTTTCCCTGCTGCATCTCCGCAGGAGGGTAAACCGGAGGTGGGACGTGGACCTACTTGTTCAGTCTACTTGTGGCGCAGAAGATGCAAAAAATCGGAGCATGCAGCCACGGGACCTTCTTTGCTCCTATCTTAAAACATGGGAATCGCAAAATGAAATGAAAATATAGGTTGCTTCTTTCAAAAACCAGAGCTCTGCATCGGTGGCCCGTCTTCCAGCCGGAAAAGGAGGCTGAAGCGACGATGCTTGCTTCTGTACAAATACCGCTGCACCCAAATTGCCCATTTCACTCCTCCGGGCACCTCCCGCCGGTTTAGCATCCACACAACTCTTTTTTTTTTTTTTTTTTATAAAAATCTCACTCTTTGCCCGGGCTAGATGAGTGCCTGTCGCAGCCCACTCACAGCAACTCCCACTCCTGGGCTCAACGATCCTCCTGCTCAGCCTCTCCCGATAGCTGGGACTAAGCATGCCCACCCGATGCCTGTAGTCATTTCTACAATATACCCTATCAGTTCGGCCCATTAATTCTCTTTCTATTTATAGTTAGAGACAGGGTCTCGCCCTTGCTCCCCAGGCTCGGTTGAACCTCCTGACCTGGAGCCGATCCCTCGGCTCCCTCCAGATGCGGGATCGCACAGTGTAGCAATGGGCCAGGCCAGCGCGGCCCGGCGCCAACCGTTGGTTTTTTAGCGTGTTAAAATTTTTATAAGATTACTATTGTTTTTCCTACTGATTCTCTCCTCCTTTTTAAATTTTATTTTTTTTTAAATTTGAGACCAGAGTCTCACTTGGCCCAGGCTAAAGATCGAGTGCCGTGGCCCGTCAGCCGCTCCTATTTCCTATTTTCAACAACTACCTCTGTTTTCTGCAAATTAAGTTTGCCAAAAATAAAAAATAAAAACTCTTGGTTGATTATAAGCAGTCTGGTAACAAAGGAAAAAAAAAAGAAAAAAAGAACCAATAAAAATTAAAAAACACTTGTTTCCTATTATATTTCTATTTTTGCATAATTATACTTAATTATAACCATACATTAAGTTGCCTTTCCTGCTTGTCAAAAGGAAGACCCCTTCCGTGGCTGCTTCCTGCTTCCGGTCCAAGCCGTCCTAAATCTGCGCGTCGTTTTTTAACGCTCCGACCCTAACCTACTCTTCCGGAACGGTAAAAAAAAAACAAAAACAAAACCCACAGACGTTAGAGGATGACAGCGTGGCGGTCCCGGCCACCGAACACCAGCCGTGGGTGACCCCCGGGCGACTCCGCGGAGCCCCGCCACCCCGCTGGGCGCGGCGAGCGAGGGACGGGGAAACTGAGTCCGGGACCGCTGCGCGCGGGAAACCCGCTCTCGACGCCCCACAGGCGGCGCGTCCGGCGTCCGGGACGCTTTCGAAGCGCTTCGGAGCGGTTCCCACAGTGCAAAGCGCTTCCCGTCTCGACCGGCGCGGAGAGCGAGGGACGGGGGAAACTGAGGCCGGGACCCGGCCCACAGGCGAGGCGACAAGTCCGGCAGCCCGCGGTGACGCTGCGGGCGCCGCCGGCATCTTGACGTCCCCGTCAGGACGGCCGCCGGGCGCCGGGCCCGGTCCCCGTCACGGCCGCGTCCCTCACACGCCCGGGGCTGGACCCTGCGACCCCGGGACGTCGCCGGCGTCCCCAGCGCCCCGCGTCGCGCCTGCTTTCGTCGCGCTCCCGCCACGTGACAAGAGCCGGCGACGTCACTTCCGGCGGCGCCGAGCATCCGGCGCGCGCGCATGCGCAAGGGCACCCGGCCTCGGCGAGCGGGTCAGCGGCGCCGCCGCCGCGACGCCAACGGGGTCGCAGCGCTGAGGGGCCGCGGCGGCCCGGGGTCGGGGGTCCTGCCGGGGTCGCTCCCTACGTCGGCCCCGCGCGCGCCGCCCCCCGAGAGCGGCGGGCGTCCGGGTGCTTCCGGGGCCGCGGCGGCGCTCGCGCAGGCCCCGCCCTCGGCCCCGCCCCCCGCCCGCCTCCGCGCGCTGGGACCGGGCGGCGGGCGGCGCGCGGGCGGCGGGATGTGAGGCGGGGCGGGCGGCGCGCAGCGAGCGAGGGCGCGCGGCCCGGCGAGGGCGGCGAGGCGGCGACCCGGGCGCCGCCCCACGCCGGCGGGGCCATGAAGAAGTTCTCGCGGATGCCCAAGTCGGACGGCGGCGGGCGGCGGGCGGCGGGCCGGCGGGGGCTCGTCCGTGGGCGTGCGGGTGTTCGCCGTCGGCCGCTACCAGGTCACGCTGGAGGAGTCGCTGGCCGAAGGTACGGGCGCCGCGCGGGCGCGGGAGGCTGGGGCGTGGCGGCGGCGGCTCGGTCCGCGCCCTCTCGGCGCGCCTTCTGCCGGGCCGGCGGGGCTGTGGGGCGGCGGGCTTGGGCTGCAGGCTGTGTGGCTCGCGGGGCTGTGGGGCCGGCGGGGCTGTGGGGCGGCGGGGTGTGGGCCGGCGGGGTTGTGGGTCGCGCGCCTTCTGCCGGGCCGGCGGGGCTGTGGGGCCGGCGGGCTGTGGGCCGGCGGGCTGTGGGGCGGGCTGTGGGCTGCAGGGCTGTGGCCGGCGGCTTTCTCGGGCCGGCGGGCTGTTGGGGCGGCGGGCTGTGGGCTGCAGGGCTGTGTGGCCGGCGGGGCTGTGGGGCCGGCGGGGCTGGGGCCGGCGGGCTGGGGCGCGGGGTTGGGGGTCGGCGCGCCTTCTGCCGGGCCGGCGGGGCTGTGGGCCGCGGGCTGTGGGCCGGCGGGGCTGTGGGGCCGGCGGGGCTGTGGGGCTGCAGGGCTGTGGGGCCGGCGCGCTTTCTGCCGGGCCGGCGGGCTGTGGGCGGCGCGCTTCTGCCCGCCGGCGGGCTGTGGGCTGGGGCTGTGGGTCGGCGGGGCTGTGGGTCCTGCGGGGCTGTGGGTCGGCGGGTTGGCGGGCTGTGGGCCGGCGTTGGCGGGCTGTGGGGTCGCGGGCCGAGTGGCCCGCGGGCTGTGGGGTCGGCGGGGTTGGCGGGGCTGTGGGGTCGGCGTGGCCGGCGGGGCTGTCTGTGCTGCCGGGCTAGCGGGGCTGGAGGGGTTGGCAGGGCGGCCGAGCTGGCGGAGCTGCTGGACTAGCGGGGCTGGTGGGTCGGCGGGGCTGGAGGTGCCAGAGGGGCTGGCCTGGCTTGCGGGCTGGCGGGGTTCTGGTTGGCGACGGCGGTGCTGTCGGGGTGGTGGTCTGGGGGGCCGGCGGGTCTGCGGGGCTGGCGGGCCGGCGGTCTGGCGGTCTGGCGGGCCGGCGGCGTCTCCGGGCCGGCTTTCGCTCCGCTGCTCGGAGCGGCGCGCGGCTCTCCCCCTGCCGGCTTTCCCCTCGTTCCCTGCCCTGGAGCGCCGAGCGGACGGAGACGGTCGCGGGGAGACGCGCCGAGCTCCCGGGCGCCCCGCCAGGTGGGAGCAGGCGGCCTCGCTCCCCGGCGTCCGGGCGGCCCGCGCTCGCCCTCGGCGGTTAGGCAGCGCGTGGGAGCCGGCTCGCGAGGGAGTTTTACTCCGTGGGGGAAAAACACAAACAACCCTTAGACTGCGAGTTCTGTGTTTCTGGCATGGTCGGCTGTGCAGACCGCTCCCCTGTCTGTCGCGGCTTCGCTGGCCTTGAGTTGGAGCTGCAGAGTGAACGCCCCGGCAGTGGGTGGGGCCTGCTGAGCGGGTGGCCCTTTCCATTCATTCATTCATTCATTCATTTATGTATGTGTGTATGTATGTTTTTCTGAGACAGAGTCTCGCTCTGTCGCCCAGGCCAGAGTGAGTGCCGTGGCGTCAGCCTCGCTCACAGCAACCTCAGACTCCTGGGCTCAAGCGATCCTCCTGCCTCAGCCTCCCCCGAGTAGCTGGATACAGGCATGGCACGCCATGCCCGGCTGATTTTTTTTGTTGTTGTTCCTTTATTTATTTATTTTCTATTTTGAGTTGACCTGTTAACTTTTTTTTTTTTTTTTTTTTAGTAGAGACGGGGTGTCGCTCTTGCTCAGGCTGGTCTTGAACTCCTGACCTCAAACGATCCACCCACCTTGGCCTCCCAGAGAGCCAGGATTTATAGACGTGAGCCACCGAGCCTAGCTAATTTTTTTCTATATATATATTAGTTGGCCATTAATTCTTCTATTTATAGTAGAGACGGGGTCTCACTCTTGCTCAGGCTGGTTTTGAACTCCTGACCTGGAGCGATCCACCCACCCGTCTCGGCCTCCCAGAGTGCTAGGATTGCAGGCGTGAGCCACCTTGCCTGGGCTGAGTGGCCCTTTTTGAGTTATATGGTTAAGAGAAAAGAAACCGAAGACCGTAGTTTTGGTTCTGTGAGAGTGAGATACATTGGTGTGGTTTGAAACCAGTAGGCTGAGATTCCACTTGTGTTTTTTTTTTTTTTTTTAAATGCTATGAACATTGGTAAATTAGTGCAAAAGAAAAACCTGAAGATTTGTGTGTGAAGTATTCTAAAGAGAAAGAAATCTTGAAATATTCAGGGGTGGATGTCGTCGTTTGGGAAACGCTTGCCCAGTGTAACGAGCCTAGCCCACACCTTGAAGAGATAAGAGGTAGAAGAGCGAGCGTGTGGTGGACGGTCTCAGTGAAAGATTCGCCGTGCTGTAAACTTTTCTGGCTCCTTACTGCGCATGAATTTCAAGTGTTGCTTTAGATTGGGTTGTAGGTTTTAAGGACACATGGCTGGCCGGGCTTGGCGGTGGCTCACGCCTGTCATCCTGGCACTCCGGGAGGCCGAGGCGGGAGGATTGCTCAAGGTCAGGAGTTCGAGACCAGCCTGAGCAAGAGCAAGACCCCGTCTCTACTATAAATAGAAAGAAATTAATTGGCTAACTAAGATATATATACAAAAAAAAATGAGCCGGGCGTGGTGGCGCATGCCTGTAGTCCCAGCTACTAGGGAGGCTGAGGCAGGAGGATCGCTTGAGCCCAGGAGTCTGAGGTTGCTGTGAGCGAGGCTGACGCCACGGCACTCACTCTAGCCTGGGCAATAAAAGTGAGACTCTTGTCTCAAAAAAAAAAAAAAGAACACATGGCTAACTCACATGCCATACTTCTGTCTTCGAATTGTGTTAGTCGCTGATCGAAGTGTAGCTTGAGTGGTGTTACGCTCACGTTGTTCCACTAAATCCCAGGCGGGTCTTTTATTTAATAGAAGATATTAACATAAGCTAGACTTGGAATTCCTAACTGGTATCACTGCCCCAAACATGTCCTTTCGCTCTCTCCGGGCAAGCCATTTTCGATAAAAATAATAAATAAATTTGGAAAATGAAAATAAAAATGAATTTCAAAGGAAGAGTCCTCATTCAGCCACAAAAAGCAAAGAACGAAAAAATGTTTGCAAGCACTCATGTCCACCGACTTTTGCCGTAAGTTTGTCGTTCCTCTTAGAGAGATCAGTAATCAGGTGATAGCAGGAAGGAAGCGAGGGTTGAAGGTGGAACTTCATCCTCCACTCCAGCTCCACGTCCTCCCTGGAGCAGAGGCCAGAGGCTTCCTTCCCTGTGTGTTCCTCCTCTCTTCGGCAAACACGCAGATGCGGTTATCAGGATCCAGTCTGCCCTTGGACCATCCCCGCTGGTTTACGCTTACTCCGGGTGCTTGATATCTCCTCTCCTTCTCAGTTAGGTGACGCCACAATTAAGACGGTATGTTTTAGCACAAGTGTAGTTCACGTTTAAGCGTGAATTAATTCACCAATAATTGACAAGTTTGCCCGATCATAAGGTCGTGGCAAGTGCTTGTGAGAAGGCATTAAGACTTAAGAATACCCAAACTGGGCAGGGGTATGCCACCGAGTAGGAAAAGCGATAGATGCTAGGACAGACCAAAACGCAAACTTTGTAGATTTTACATTTTTTTTTTTTTTTTTTTTTTTTGCTTCCACTCAGTATTGTTTAAACAGGGCCAGGACACAGTGGACTCTGGGCCCCAAGGTATTTTTGCCTTGCTGCTGCGAACATAGGCAGCTTACTGAGTGACCCGTGCAGTGTGTTTTTGATAAGTCAGTCCCTGTCTGTCTCTTTCTTTTATTATTATTATTTATTTTTTTACCCGCCCCTGCCCCCCCTTATTATTTATTTTTTTATTTCGGCATATTATGGGGGTACAGATTTTAAGGTTTCAATAAATGCCCTTTCCCCCCTCCCCCTATTATTATTATTTTTTGAGACAGAGTCTCAGTTTGTTGCCCAGGCTAGAGTGAGTGCCGTGGCGTCAGCCTCGCTCACAGCAACCTCCAACTCCTGGGCTCCAGCGATCCTCCTGCCTCAGCCTCCTCCCGAGTAGCTGGGACTACAGGCATGCGCCACCATGCCCGGCTAATATTTTGTATATATATATTTTTAGTTGGTCAATTTCTTTCTATTTTTAGTAGAGACGGGGTCTCGCTCAGGCTGGTTTCGAACTCCTGACCTTGAGCAATCCACCTGCCTCGGCCTCCCAGAGTGCTAGGATTACAGGCGTGAGCCACCGCGCCCGGCCTGTTTCTTTTACACACACACACACACACACACACACACACACACACACATAGTTATGTTCCCAAAAGTCACCATGGACATGGAATTAGCAAATACTGAACCATTGCTCTTGTGGGGAGCACAGTGTTAGGTTCCTTAGAACATTTTTGTCAATCGATCAACATATAGCCTTATTTTATGCATGTTTCTGTTTAAAGACACCTTATTTACTCTATATTGATGATTCATGAACATTGAAATCATGGCCAACAGCACTATAATGCTTAAATGAAGGTTATCCTAACACTTGTATTTTCTCTGTAAGGTACTTTATGGTCTTCTTGCACTTAGGAACATTACAGCACTTCAGCACCGTGTTTGGGGGCCATTTTAAAACAGTGAAATCACAAATAAAAAAAGCGCAAAAATGAGGGAAAAAAATGGCACTAAGTAGACCCTGAAAAGGGTTTACAGAATGAGAGCTGAAACAAGAATGTGCAAGTCAGGAAACTCAGATTTTTCTTCCTTGTGCATATGTCTGCAAACGACCGTGAAAGTGACGTGGGTAATTATTTGGGGCATACAAAGAAATTTTAGCAAGTAGATGAATTTCCAAATATGGAATCCCAAATAATGATAAACCGTTGTTACATACTCATATGCACACGTGTGTTATGTCTACAGTTTAAAAAACCCAGGGCCGGGCGCGGGGGCTCACGCCTGTCATCCCAGCACTCTGGGAGGCCCGAGGCGGGAGGATCGCTCGAGGTCAGGAGTTCGAGACCAGCCTGAGCAAAGGCGAGACCGTGTCTCTACTAACG